AAAGAATATACCTTCTTTTCAGCATGGCATGGAATCTTCTAAAAAATCGACCACATACTCAGCAACATAGCAAACCTAAACAGGTACCAAAAATTGGAATAATCCCCATGTGTCTTATCAGACTACTATGCTTAAAAGTTAGAATTGAAAAACAACACGAATTGCATAAAACTGACCAACTCATGGAAATTGAACAACACACAATTGTACCATTCCTGGGTCAAGGAAGAAATAAAGAATGAAATTAAAGACTTCCTAGAATTCAATGAAAATGAAGACACAACATACCTGAACTTTTGGGACACTTTGAAAGCATTACTAAGAGGAAAGTTCATAGCTCTAAGTGCTCACATGAAGAAACTAGAGAATAATCACACCAGAGAGTTGACATACCAGCTGAAAGCTCTAGAACAAATGGAAGCAAATTCACCCTGGAGGAGTAGACACCAGGAAATCAAATGAGGGTAGAAATCAAAAAAGTGGAAACAAAGAAAACAATACAAACAATCAATGTAACAAAGAGTTGTTCTTTGAGAAAATCAACAAGATAGACAAACCTTTATCCAATGTAAACAAAAGGCAGAGAGAGCATGCTAATTAACAAAATTAGAAATGAAAAGGGGGACATAACAATGGACAATGAGGAAATCCAGAGAACCTTCAGGTCATACTTTGAAAACCTGTACTCCACAAAATTTGAAAATTTAAAGGAAATGGACAATTTTATGGACAGATATCACTTACCAAAAGTAAATCAAGAACAGATAAGCAACTTAACAGACCTATAACCTCTATGGAAATAGAAGCAATCATTAAAAGTCTCCCACTCCAAAGAAGCCCAGGGCCAGATGGCTTCAGTGCAGAATTCTACCAGAAATTCAAAGAAGAGCTAATACCAATACTCCTCAAATTGTCCCACAAAATAGAAGGAGAAGGTTTGTTGCCAAACTCTTTTTACGAGGCTACAATTACTTTGTTACCCAAGCCACACAAAGACACAACTAAGAAAGAGAACTAGAGACCAATATCCCTCATGAACATAGATGCGAAAATACTCAATAAAATACTGGCAAACTCAATCCAGGAACATATCAGAAAAATCATCCACCATGATCAAGTAGGCTTCATCCCTGGGATGCAGGGTTGGTTCAACATTCGAAATCTGTCAATGTAATCCACCATATAAACCAATTGAAGAAAAACCACATGATCATCTTACTAGATGCTGAAAAAAACTTTGACAAAATCCAACATCCCTTCATGATAAAGGTCCTAGAGAGAGCAGGAATAACAGGAATGTACCTGACCATAATAAAAACAATATACAGTAACCCAACAGCCAACATAAAACTATTTTGAGAGAAACTCAAAGCTATTCCTCTAAAATCAGGAACAAGGCAATGCTGCCCACTCGCTCCATATCTCTTCAATTTTGTCGTTGAAGTTCTAGCTAGAGCAGTAAGACAACAAAAGGAGATCAAGGGAATACAAATTAGAAAGGAAGAAGTCACACTTTCACTGTTAGCAGATGATATGATAGTCTACATAAGTGAGCCAAAAACCTCTAACAGGGAACTCCTACAACTGATAAACATCTTTAGCAAAGTGGCAGGATACAAGAGTAACTAAAAAAAAATCAGTAGCCCTGCTATATATGGATGATAAATGTGCTGAGAAAGAAATCAGAGCAATATCACCCTTTACAATTGCCACAAACAACACAAAATACCTTGTGGTAATGCTAACAAAAACAGTGAAAGACCTCTATAATAAGGATTTTGAGTCTTTAAGGAAAGAAATTAAAGAAGATACCAGAAAATGGAAGGATCTCCCATGTTCTTGGATAGGTAGGATCAACATAGTAAAAATGGCAATCTTGCAAAAAGCAATCTACAGATTTAATGCAATCCCCATCTAAATTCCAGCACAATTCTCCAAAGAACTTAAAAAAAACAATTCTCAACTTTATATGGAAAAACAAAAGACCCAGGATAGCCAAAACAACTCTGTACAATAAAAGAACTTCTGAGGCATCAATATCTCTGATTTCAAGCTCTATTATAGAGCTTTAGTCCTGAAAACACCTTGGTATTGGCACAAAAATAGACAGGTAGACCAATGGAATTGAGTTGAAAGTCCTGATATTAGCCCGCACATCTATGAACCCCTGATTTTTGACAAAGACGCCAAAGTTATACAATGGAATAAAGAAAGCATCTTCAACAAATTGTGCTGGCATAACTGGATGCTGGCATGTAGAAGACTGCAGATAGATCCATGTCTATTGCCCTGCACAAAGCTTAAGTCCAAATGGATCAAAGACTTCAACATAAACCCAGCCACACTGAACTTATAAGAAGAGTAAGTAGGAAATACCCTTGAACAAATTAGTACAGGAGACTGCTTCCTGAACATAACACCAGTAGCACAGACACTGAGGTCAACAATTAATAAATGGGACCTCCTGAAGCTGAGAAGCTTCTGTAAGCCAAGGGACACAGTCAACAAGACTATACGACAGCCCAAGGATTGGGAAAAGATATTTACCAACCCCACATCTGAAGGAGGCTGATCTTCAAAATTTACAAAGAACTCAAGAATCTAGTCTCCAAAACACCAAATAATCCAATATAAAAGTGAGGTACAGAAATAAATAGACAATTCTCAGTAGAGGAATCCAAAATGGCTGAAAGACACATAAGAAAGTGCTCAACATCCTTAGCCATCAGGGAAATGCAAATCAAAACAATTCTGAGATACCATCTCACTCCTGTCAGAATGGCTAAAATCAAAAACACCAATAACAGTTTATGCTGGAGAAGTTGTGGAGAAAGGGGAACACTCCTCCACCGCTTGTGGGAGTGCCAACTCGTACAGCCACTTTGGAAATCTGTATGGTGATTCCTCAGGAAAATGGGAATCAGTCTGCCACAAGATCTCACAATTCCACTCTTAAGCATATACCCAAAAGAAGGACATTCCTACAACAAGGATATCTGTTCAACTATATTCATAGCACATTATTTGTAATATCCAGAACCTGGAAACAACCAATATGCCCCTCAACTAAAGAATGTATAGAAAAAATGTGGTATATTTACACAATGGAGTACTACTCAGCGGCAAACAAAAGGCAATGGAATCTTGATATTCGCAGGCAAATGGATGGAACTAGAAGAACCCATTCTGAGTGAGGTAACCCAGTCACAAAAATACAGACATTGTATATACTCACTCACATGTGGATTTTAGACATAGAGTAAAGGATTGCCAGCCTGCAGCCTAGGCTTCTGGAGAGGCTGGTAAACAATGAGGACCCTAAGAGAGACATACATGGTCCCCTATAAAAGGGGAAAGGGACAAGATCTTCTGAGAAAATTGGGAGAATGGGGGGTGGGGAAGGAAACTAGGAGAATGAGAAGGGGAGAAGAGGAGGTGTGAGGAAGACATGATGGGACAGAGAGGTTGAGTTGGGGGAAGAACAGAAGAGAGCAAGATAAGAGATACTATAATAGAGGAAGACATTATAGGTTTAAAGAGAAATCAGGAACTAGGGACATGTCTGGAGAGCTACAAAGATGACACTAAAAAATAATGTAAGCAACAGAGGAGAGGCTACCTTAAATGCTCTCTCCTGATATTGAGATTGATGACTATTTCATATGCCATCGTATAGCCTTCATCCAGCAGCTGGTGGAAGTAGAAGCAGATACCCACAGCTAACCCTTGAACGGAACTGAAATCCACTTGCAGAGAAGGAGGAATGATGAGCAAAGGGGTCCATATAAGGCTGGTGAAACCCACAGAATCAGTGGACCTGAACAAGGGAAAACTCTTGATCCCCAGACTAATAGCTGGGAAACCAGCATGGGACTGATCCAGACTCCTTGAATGTGGGTATCAGTGAGGATACCTTGGAAATCTATGGGGCCTCTTGTAGTGGATCAGTACTTATTGCTACAATAGGAATGGACTTTAGGAGCCAATCCCACATGGAGGGATACTCCCTGAGCCTAGATACAAGGGAGTTGGCCTAGGCTTTATCCCAAAGAATATGACAGACTTTTAAGACCCCCTATGGAAGGCCTCACCATTTCTGGGGAGCAGAAAGGGTATGGGATAGGTAGGGCATTAATTGGGAGGGCAGGGGAGGAGGGGAGGGAGAGGGACCTGGGGTTGCCATGTAAAATAATTTTCTTTCTAATACAAAATGAAAAAAACCAAAAAAAACCAAACCAACCAAACAAAATAGAAAGCAGAGTTTAGGATTTCCTTGATTGTTTAGTGTTGACAGTGCATAACCAAGGCAGTAAGTTGTTCTGAAATCCCATCTTCTGTATGAACATGCCCCGGGTATGTTGGGTGTTCTGGATGCCGTCTTCAGTTTTATATAGCAGGACTGTATGTGTCCATCTGTCCAAACTTCATTGCTTTATTTTCCTATTACATTGTGTCTTTTGCATAAGGCATATTTAATGAATACTTTGTGATTGAGTGTTGATGTGATGTGTTGATGGCTGTTGTTTTCCAGGAATTTATAGGGTTCTCTTGGATGTTGTAGAGGTGAACAGTGGCTGCATCCCCCAAAATAGAGTGCAACAGATACTTAAGTTACCTGGGCATTGGAGCCAAAGAGATGAAAGGTTTACCATAGTACTGCACATATACTTTATCCCTGCTGACTGCACTTGGGGAACATGCTTACATTCTTTCTTCCTCAGCTCTTTTACCTGTAACATTTGTATAAAATCACTTTCCTCTGAGTTTCCTCTGGGTAAGTGCTCAGAGTGGACATCCAAAATGCTGTCTTCTTATCCACACCCTTCACCCTTGATAAGGGAGATAAGAAAGGCATGAGGTGCCTAGACAATGTGTCCAGTACTGTCATGATCCCTGTCATTTAAATATGCCACATATTACCATCTTCAAACTAGCAGCTATGTACAGGTATGCAACCAGCATGGCACCTCTATTAGCAACTATGTTCTTTGTTCCTACAGGATCTATGAACGTGTGATAGACCCCCCAGAGACCAACCTTCCTCCAGGAAGCAATTTGTGGCTTGGACAACGCAACCAAAAGCATGGCTTTTTCAAAGTAAGTTCTGATTTTCATGTATATTGAGAAATGCTTGATTTTCTTTTTATAATTATGATTAGAAATAATTAAATCATTTCCCTCTTTCCCCTTCAGCCTCTATCACCTCCCCCTAAAATCCTCCCCCTCTTAAAATCATGGCCTATTTTTCTTTGTGGTGGTTTGAATGAGAATGGTCCTCATAGGCTCCTATATTTGAAAGGTGGCCCTTGGTTGGTGGAATTGTTTGGGGAGTATTAAAGGTGTGGGCTTGTTGGAGGAGGCATGTCACTAGGGGTGGGTTTTGAAGTTTCAGAAGCTCATGCCATTCCCAGTAAGTTCTCTCTTTTTGCCTTGCATTTGTTATACTGCTCAGCATTATACCTGCCTGCTGCCATTTTCCCTGTCATGGTGATCATGGATTCTGTTGCCCTCTCTGGAAGGATCAGCCCTAAATTAAGTGCTCTCTTTTATAAGTTGCCTTGGTCATGGTGTCTCTTCACAGCAATGGAATAGTAACTAAGGCAGCTATTAATGTTATGTATATTTGCATAAATTATAAATACTAAAATTCTGAGTCTGTTTGGTATTATTCTTATGTGTATAATTTCAGCACTAACTCCTCGGCATTAGACAATTAGTTAGGGGGAGTTCATTCCTGGGAAAGTAATTCTTCCTCTTAGCAGGTGTTAGTTACCCATAGTTCTTTGTCAGTGATGGGGTCCCAAGAGATTTCTTCCTTCTACATTTGCATGTCCATTGGTGTTGTCATTGTTTGGGGCTTGTTAAGCAGTCATATTGTTGAGGTAACAGGAGTAAAGCTTCTCTGTCATGTCTAGGAGACACAGACTCACAGTGACTTCTAAACCCTTTGGCTCTTACAATCTTTCTACCTTCTCCTCTGTGATATTCTCTATGCTTTAGGTGCAGGCAATGTTGCTGGTTGTGTGTATATAATTATACTAGAGGAAGGGCATGACAATGACTATTAAACACTTATAGAATACACAAGATTTTAACTCACTTAAATGGGGAATAATGACTCTATAAAGTAAATATTTTGAAGCTAGACAGAGAGCTTAGTGGTTTACCCAAAGACCTTACTGTATTGCATGCCCCTTGGATAAACCACTCAGCGCTCTATCTTGTTAGGCCTGGGTGATCCAGAACATAAATGGCTCTTTGGATGTATTTCATTAAACTCTGAATTCTGAGAGATTTAAATAATTGTGGTGTTTTGAATGAGAATGGACCTTATACATTTATGTTTGAATACTTGATTCCCAGTTGGTTGAACTGTTTGGGTAGGATTAGGAGGTGTGGCCTTGTTGGAGGAGGTATGTTCCTGGGGACTAGCTTTGAGGTTGCCAAAGACTATGACCAGCACCATTTGGAGCTAGCTTTCTTGGCTGGCTTCTTGTTTGTGTTAACTGAATCTGGGGCAAGTATCTATTCATACATAAAGTAAAATTTCAGCTTCTTTGAGTTTGGTTCTCTTTGCTATGAAGATGATACAGTAACTGCATTGTTTTTTGTGGAAACATGAAGGTACTGTGATAAAATGTGCTGAAAAGTTAACACCATGAAATATTATTTATTTATTTATTTATTTATTTATTTATTAGTTCTAGTTAGGGAA